CGAAAAACTCGACAAGCAAAAGAAGAAGATTAATTGGTCAAAATATTATTACTCCACCTCCAGAGATAAATATCACAACTGATAATGTTCCAACTATAGAGGTAGTAATACCAGAACCTGTACCTTCTAAACGAATACTGATAACAGATGATAATTTAATTAACAGAAAAGTGATGGAAAAGATGGTTCGATTGTTGGGATTTACTGAAGTTGATTGTGCATCGAATGGATTGGAATGTTTTGAAATGTACAAACAAAAACAATATTCAATCATTTTATTGGACTTGTTGATGCCAGTCATGTGTGGCAAGCAGAGTGTGAAACATATTCGAGAATTTGAAGAGAGTGAAGGAAGAAAACGAACACCAGTAATTGCCATCACTGCCAACATTTGGGAATCAGTTGATACTCTCTCACAACTTGGATTTGACTCTGTCATTTACAAACCAATCCTTATTGAAAAATTGAGGGAGGAAGTTGAACGGTTAACGCAAGAAAGCAACTCATAGCCCAAATATCAACAACCTACATAACAGTACCAACACCTTTTCATTTTTGGATGGTTTTTTGGTTGATATTATTGCTTGTATTAAGGTCAAATAAGGGATAATTCGCGAAATTAATATTTAAAAAAAATGAGTACATTAAAACCCCACAACGTGACTGGAACGAATTGTACCACGAGTTCTATCGGATCGTCATCCACGGTTGGAGACTTGGGAAATAGCAGTCTACAACAAATAAATCAAAAGTTGATTAAGGAAGATACAAAACCTACTCCCTCATTATCGGAAATAACAAGTAATAACAGAAATACAAATAATTTATTGTCACCTCCTTCTTCAATCACAAGTTCAACCAGTAGCAGAAGCATTCCAAAAACTAAATCACCAATATCAAGATGGGAATCAGTACCTATCATCTCTTCGACAACTAACGTTTCAATAACAAATACTGAAGATATCTCTCCAAAGAGAGGTGAAAAACCCTCCCCAATAATTGTTCCAGAAACAACTGGTGTGTTTGGAGTGAGTTCAACACCTAGAAAGTCATCCACCTGTCAACCACCAAATTCAAGAATTAATGAACCACCACCCTCAACAAGAAACTCAATCATCCTCACACCAACAAATTCCAAATTCATTTCCCAAACAAGTATACCTTTGGATGTGGACGATTCGAATGATAATAGTAATGAACAGATTCTTTCCTCAATTTCACTTTTTCAATTTATCCAACTAATCATGCAAAAAAATCCTAACCCTAAATTTAGAGAAGCCCATCGACAAATTTCACAGCAAAATATTTATTCAATTACCAAATGGTTTAGCGTTTTGACTTTATATTTTTGTTTACTATTTATTGGAATGTACATAACATCAGAAAGTTCAGCATCTCCTATTTATTTTTTGCCTTTTTCCATTTGAAGTAGCCAACAATATGATATGCAAT